GAAGGCTGGACTCGAAACGCTGAAGCGTCGACCATTTCTGGCCGGCAGCTTTCAGCGTCATTAAGCCGCTGCGCCACCGCGTCCCCCTACTGCTGTCTTAGAGAGTCCAATAATAAGAGAGATGAAGTCACTCAGAAATTCTGGAGTGATAGGAAGTGAGTTTCAAGAAAAAAAGAAAGATACACTGTACTCATATAGATTCCTATCACACGTTCACAGTATTTTTCAGACTCTTAATTGAGTGCACCTCTGTCTAATTTTCTGGATTCTTCTTCCACCCACATAAATATATGTACAATAAGACAAGTGTATGGCACAAGATGGCCAATCTGTTGTTGAACATAAACTTCAAACTACCTACCTAGCACATCCACCTATCCAGTACTTGAATAAACTACAGCTGAAGTACAGAACATGTACCCTGTGGATTGCATGTAGATTGCCAGCATTACCTTTTCATCCCCTAGAGGTTTCCCAAGAATTAGACCAGGACCAGTAATTCCTAGGTATAGTTAAGTTATTGTTATTTATTTTAAACTAGGTTTTAAATCCCATCTGTTTTCCAAGAAGTTCTCATTAAATAAAATAATTATCTGTTAAATAAATACTTAAGAATGTACACCGTTCCATAAAATGAAATAAAGGTTTGTCACCCAAATGACAGAGAAAGGAGAAAGGGGGTCCATTTAGAAATGCAAAGGGGCATGTAGACGAAGAATTCAAAATCTTATCCTCCAGCCCACATATCACATTTCTATTATCTGTTTTAGAGGTTTTTCTTCTTACTTATTTAAATGGGAGGAAACTGCTTTAGGGCACAGCTATAGAGGTTAGCTATTGTTGATAATGGATTAGGATTCTCCAGTACTTATCTATAAAACTTGTTTATTTCAGGATTAAATGCTCAACCCCTTTTATATGAATGAGACAGATTTTGTCTCGATGCATGTATGTGTAGTATATTTGTGTTTTTAATCTGTGAGAAAATATTACAGTTTTTCAGAGTATTTTCTTAGTGTTATAGCTAAGACAAGATAAACATTTTGGTATTTTTACCAATATTTTTAAAAAAGTTAATTTTATTTGCAGAGGGATAAATAGGGAATTTGAGGGGGAAAAGCTTAAAATTAAGATTTGTAATTTTTTTTAGTTAAGAAATTAATGTGATTAAAATTCAGAGTAGGATTGCAGCTATACAGTTAAACCCACTTGTTCTAATGTGTGGGAAATTAAATAGTAATAGCAAATGTGATAACCACAAATCTGTGTGCCTATTTTAAGAATAACAAGTGTCCATGTACTTTTCTTTTTATACTCTCTAGTTAATAATGGTTTGGAGGCATTTTTGAAGAATTGGAATTATTTTGCATTCAAGACCTTATTTTAAGACATTTTAAGGAATATAGTTAAACATAAAGTTGCAGATTTGATTCAAAAGAGGTTGTTCAAAATACATGGGAGCATGAATGCACCATTTGTTTACAACTCATTAAATCAGCCACTTCTCATTGATGCAATAGAAGCCTATTTTAATTATTACAGGTGTGGTGTTTTGCCCTTGTATGTTTCAAAGCACCTTTTTTGAATTAAATCCAGAGCATTGCACAGTCCTATTCCAAGTGAAATGTAATAGCTTTGAGTCCAAACTGCTCCTTGGTTCATTTGAAATAAATTGTCTGTGGCTTCTACCAACTTCTTCAGTATTTCTAGCCCTCTTGTACTGTATCTCACAGCATTTGAAAGGTCCCACTAATTCCATAAACAAATTGGCGTGTGGGGTTTCAGGAGACTGCAGATGAAATGAGGAGATAGGAAAGCTTTCTTCCATGAATATGAACCATGATTTGTGCTTAGGAAGAAACATAAGATTCAAGCCAATTTTAGTACCGAAAGTGAAAAATGCATTCAAGTAAGTGATATATAATTTTTTCTCCAATTTTCTTTCTTCTCACCCCCAGCTATGTATGCCTAAGGGTCTGTCTTTCAAGACACAAGCTGATGCCAGAGAACCTCAGTTCCATTCATTTATCATTACACGTGAAGATGGCTCACGGACTTTTGGATTTTCTCTAACATTTTATGAGGAAGTTACCAGTAAACAAATCTGCAGTGCAATGCAGACATTGTATCTCATGCACAATGCGGAATATGATATTCTTCATGCTCCATCTACCAATGATAAAGATAACTGTAGCACTATAGAGGACTGTAATGGTACCTCTGTATCAAAACTACAGCGATTTAACTCGTACGACATTAGTAGAGACACACTCTATGTCTCTAAGTGTATTTGCCTAATAACTCCAATGTCTTTCATGAAGGCATGTAGGAAAGTGCTTGAACAACTCCATCAAGCTGTAACTTCACCTCAACCACCACCGTTACCTTTGGAAAGCTTTATCTACAACATTCTGTATGAAGTTCCTCTCCCTCCAGCAGGAAGATCCCTAAAATTTTCAGGAGTTTATGGACCGATAATCTGCCAGAGGCCAAGCACCAATGAATTGCCATTATTTGATTTTCCAGTCAAAGATGTTTTTGAATTACTTGGAGTGGAGAATATGGTTCAACTCTTCACCTGTGCTCTTCTGGAATTTCAGATACTGCTTTATTCACAACGTGAGTATAACTGTTTTAAATTGCAAGTGATGGGCAAGGTCATAAAAAGTACATTATTATTATTGTTATTGTTATTATTATAAGTCACATAGTCAGCCAGTTGTTTAGACTGGATTTGGCATTTTTATCCCTAGCGAGTCCTTCCCAAGGACCTTGGATAGGCAGATGTTGTTATTATTAATATTATTATTATTCCCACCTTTTTTATATATAACTCGAGGCAGCAAACATACCTAATCTTCCTGCCTCCTATTTTCTCCACAACAACCACCACCTGTGAGGTAGGTTGGGCTGAGAGAGAGTGGCTAGCCCAAAGTCACCCAGCCGGCTTTCATGCCTAAGGCAGGCTTAGAACTCATGGTCTCCTGGTTTCTAGGCTAGCACCTTGATCGCTACACCAAACTGGCTTATCATTATGATTATGATACATTATCAGTATACTCTTCTTTACATCATGATCCTCATCTTCTTTTTTCAGTGGAAAAGTAAATGAAAGTGTTTCTTTCATGTAGATGCAATAATGATGGCCAAAACATTTAACTAATAACTAGGTGTGCTGTGCAAAAATATTTGGAGGGGTGCTTCACTTTGGCAGCAGTCCTTGTGGAAGCGATATCCTTCTGCCCATATGCATGCTTAGATAATATAAGATTCTCAAGCCTTTCCAAAGACGTTTGAGAGTCCTCTGTTTGTTTTCTATTTCTTAGTTTTATTTATTGGCTTTCAGTAAATGAGTGGTCCAGAATGAGAAAGTGTAATTGGTAGTTTTATTTTTTGCCTTTTCTTACCAAATATAGAATAAAGACGAACTTTACTCTGAGCAGCTGCACATGTTACTTAGAATATGTATATTTTAGTCGTCCTTCACTGGTTTTAAAATCTTTTGAAAGGAAAAAGGCTTTATTCTATGAATATCTAAAATAATCCAATAGAGCTGCAAAACTCAAGGTATGGCTTTATTGCTTGCCCTGCTTCACGCTGAGGCAGAAAAACAAAACATAACAAAACAAAAAAGAGATATATTTTTGTTTCTGGTTTAATCTGTCTAGTTTAATTTATGAATAACTATTTCCGTCTTGACCAAAAACAGATTCCAATAAAAGAGAATATACGTAGCTCATGGTTGATCTATGGAGTCCTTGGGGCTCTCTGAACTTGGTTGTTTGCCTGCAGATGTTTCATTACCCAACTAGGTAACATCATCAGTGATGTTGATGTTGTTACCTAGCACTGATAATGTTACCTAGTTGGGTAATGAAACATCTGCAAACAAACAACCAAGCTCAGACAACACCAAGGACTCCACAAAAACAGATTCTCCAAGAACTAAGCAAGTTATACTAACTGCTTTTATTGTGACTGTTGACAAAATGAGGTTAGATTGGCATTTTTAACCAAATACATATTGGTCAGATATGTTGCACAATTGAGAGCTTCTGTGCAAACGTCTTCAGATAATATTTGGCTGCTGTTAAACTGTTGTGTTGCTTTATCAGTGTCTCAGGCAGTGGCAACACCTGGGAGATCCCCAGGGAATACTAGGGTGGTAGCTAGACTGGGAAGTTGCAAAACATCCCAGAAGAAAGTTGTGGCAAATCATTTCCATATCATTATCAAGAAAATATGTCCCTAAAATTGATTTGCTGAGACTGCTGCATCAGAGATACAAAATATGATTGTCTAGTTTGCAGTTTTAGTGTGCTGTATGAACCTAGGGAATAGGTTAATTCAGTAAACCTTGGTTCAATTAACCAAGGTAGCATATTGAATGCAACTTATATGTGGCCTTAGAGCCTTGCTGGCACAACTTAAAATAGTTGTTGCTGTTTGTACATAATGTGTTTGGAACATACTAAGTCTCATACACGTTATATAAACACTATTGTTTTCAACCATTAACTTGGCACAATATGGCAGGAATGATGAGAGGGAGGGAGGGAGGGAGGAAGGAAGGAAGGAAGGAAGGAAGGAAGGAAGGAAGGTTACTAATTAAGGTGCTGGTCTAGGAGTGGGGAAACCCAAATTCTACCTGTCACTTGGAAGTTGGGTGACCGGGCCAGTTACTCTCTCCCTGCCCTAGACTGGGAAGTTGAAAAACATCTCTTTATCAATCTGCAGTGGACCAGCATAATAGACTATGGGCCATAACCTTCAGTGAAGAAGCCTTTATCCTGCAGTGGATGGATTCAGGCTGATTCCAGTAATAATAATGAATGTTTTGGAATTGGCCTACAGATAGAATGGGAAGAAGCTCCCTTCTATAGCTTACTGCAGTTGCTATAGAAACAGAACTAGCCAAATAGGTCTGATAAAGCATCATGGAGAAAGTCTATCTATGCGTTAGCTAAGGGTAGACACTGACTTAATGAGACATAATCAATTTTTAAAAATCTGATAAAGCATTATTTTTCTGATGTTCTCCTTGTATCAATATAACTAATCCTTCTGGACACCTCAGATGTGGGCAAAACAATTTGCAGACCCCAAGAAATTATTTTTAATTTATTCTACCTTCATCGATAATGTGATAGCTAGAAGGACCAAAGTCAGATAAAAAGACCCTGAGACCACATTAGTCAATTACAGTAACAATGCAGAGATATACAATAACAACGCATCCCCAGCCCCATTCAGAAACATCCCATTCTCAATCCATTAGGTTGCACAGGCAGGAGAAAGAAGCACAAGGGACCACTATATATATGGTTTGAGGGTTATAGTTGCAGTTCCTGCTTTTCTGCTCTATTACAAGTTCCCCAGTATCTGTAGTAATAAACTAGTTTATCAAAGCACTTTGTCTTCATACATCTCTGCCTGCTAGCCTTTAAGTTTGTGTAATCATTTGTATCATTTGTATTTCAGTTACTGATACACATTTATTAGCTGCATTTACTCATTTATTAAGCCATGATTTGTATTAACCAGAACTATTAATCGGTTCTGAAATATCCAGGGCAGTCTTATGGACAAGCAAAGTAATCATGGCTTATCTGACTAATTTCTATTAAGCTTTTTCTCTTTTTTCACTGTTTTGCCCTGTAACTTTGTGGAATGACTACAACATTTAGTGGCCCCCAGTTGGTGCTAAGATTCAGCAGCAAAACTGCTAGCAGAAATAGATATGTTAGCATTTGCTTCTTTAATCTCTTGTTGGCCCCACTCCATGAAATCAATAGAAGCCAAACAAACAAGCAAAAGTGTAACCCAACAGCTAAAAAAAGTTGACAGTTCATAGGGAAGAAGTTTGGATGGAGCACAGAACCAAACCAGGAATAAGCCAAGAAGTGGCAAACCATGCATTCCCATTCACATAACAAATTAAACCATAGTTACAGTCAACAACCTAATAATCAAGAACAGTTTCCAGCTGTGGTTTACTGTCGTAAACATACCATGTTTTATTCACTGGTCTTCTCCAACATCATGCTGAGCAAAAAACCAAATACATTTTGGCCTAGCACAATATATGAACCAACTGAGTCCTATAGGAGTGCAGGAGAAGTGTTTTCCACATCCAGACCTGCATAGCATCTGCCACCCAACAGTTCTTTTCCCATTCTGTTTTGCATGAATATATATGTCATTCTATACCAGTGTTCTCAATCTCAGCAACTTTAGACACCAAATAAGCAGTTCCTCTGTTAAGGTCATGCCACCC